TAATACGATTCTTCTTCTACTTCTGATTATTTCTTTTCTTTTTTTATTCATTGGCAGCTTTTAATTTTTTTGAAAAATTGCTAGTTTTTTGCTCACTTTTTTTTAAGAGATGAAGTCTCACTGTGTTGCCCAGGCTGGTCTCGGAATTCTAGACTCAAGCGATCCTCCCACCTCGTCCTCCCAAATGCTGGGATTACAGGAGCAAGCCACTGTGCCCATCTTTCTTCTCCTCTCTTTAGCCACCCAATTTTAGGTACCTCAAATATCTCAGTATTTTAGTTGTAAATGGCAGAAAATATGACTCGAATTGGTTTATGTTTAAAAAAAAAGTAAGTTATTGGATCACATACTTGAGAATCCTAGGATAGGTGGCTTCAGGGAAGGTGTGATCAAGGTGTTCAGCATCACGTCTCCATCGTGATTCAGCTTTCCTCTGCATTGCCTGATTCTTAGGCATGTGCTTGACTAATGAGGCAACAGCAGCTTGCAGGTCCAAGCTTATTTTCATCAATGGTATCTTAACTACATCAGTGGTATAGAACTGCTTCTTTTCTGGAGCCCCACTGTAAGTTTTGGGCTTCATTCTCATTGGCCTGTGTTGGGTGATGTATACATTTCTAAACCAATCACAGTTGCCAAGCGGATGTAGTACAGGTTGAGTATCTCTTATCCAAAATGCTTGGGACCAGAAGAGTTTCTGAGTGTGGACTTTTTTTTCTTTCTATCAGATTTTGAACTATTTGCATGTTACTTACCGGTTGAGCATCCCAAATCCCAAAATTGAAAATCCAAAATGCATAATGAGCCTTTCCTTGGAACATCACGTCCGTGCTCAAAAAGTTTCGGGTTTTGGAGCATTTCACACTTTGGGTTTCTGGATGTGAGGTCCCCTCATTGCCGGGGCTGGGTCACATAATCACCCTTGAAGCCAAGATTAGAGTGGAGCCCCATTCCATAAGGACTGAGAGTGGGTGGTTTCACAAAAGAAAGTCAAAGTGCTGTCACATGAGGGGATGGATACTGGAGAGGCAAAAACAACAGATGTTCACACTGCGTTTCTGGGTTCATTTATCGGCTCTTCGCTTTCTCTGTGAATCATCTGATGATTTCCGCTCCCGCCTGCCTGGGCAGGACTCTGAAACTCCTGCCTCCAGATTAGACTCCACTTCTGAGTTGTAGCCTCTTTTCCCCCACCCTCTAGAATTAGGCATTTCCATTTGGTGGTGCTACGCAGACCTGAAACTCAGTGTGCTGCAACCCTCACCACCTCCCACCTGGTTTCTCTCTCTAACGTCCCTGTCTTTGTCAGCGGTGCCAGTAGGTTTCCTTCCAGCCCCATTGTGCTGCTTTTGGTTCCTTGAATGCACCTTTGCGATGCTTTTCCTTCTTTTGTAACCCTCTTTGGCATATTCTTGTGTTGGTGAACCCCTGCCCTTATTTGGATATCAGCTCAGAAGTCACTTCTTTGGGGATCTCTAACCTTATTACCCATGTCTGCCAAGCCTGAGTTAGATACTCTTTTCCCTAGCTCCACTAGGCTTTTACCTCTTCTGCCATTGCATTTCTCACTCAGACTGGCTCCGTTGCCTGCCTTCCCCTTGAGGGCAGGGCCACATCTGTCTAATTCACCATTGTATTTCCAGCAGTCCAGCCTGACAACTGAGTCTGGGTGCTGTCTGATAAACTAGGCTTTGTTTTTTTTTTTTTTTCCTCTTTTTTTAATTTTGATAGTTTTGGGGGAACAGATGGTTTTTTGGTTACATGGATAAGTTCTTTCATGGTGGTTTCTGAGGTTTTGGTGTATCCATCACTAGAACAGTATATGTGTACCCAATATGTAGTCTTTTATTCCTCACCCTCCCACCTTTTCCCCCAGTCCCCAAAGTCCCTTATATCACTCTTAGGCTTTTGTGTCCTCTTAGCTTAACTTCACTTACAAGTGAGAATATATGGTATTTGGGTTTCCAGTCCTGAGTTACTTCCCTTAGAACAATGGCCTCCAACTCCATCCAAGTTGCTGCAAAGGCCATTATTCCGTTCTGTTTTATGGCTGAGTAGTATTCTATCATGTATATCTATATATACAACATTTTCTTTATTCACTTGAGATAAACCAGGCTTTGAATTCAGGCTTTTCTCTCCTGAGCTGAGAGCATATGCGCAAGTTCCTTCACCACCCCAAGCCCATTTCTCATCTCTAAGATGCGGACAATGACAGTTCCTCCCTCACTGAGCACTTGTGAGGAGTAAGTGGTGATCACAGTTACAAAGTGTTCAGCACAGTGCCTGGAACACGGTAAGCATTGAATCAGTGCCAGTGATCACTTTTATCCTCTGAATATTATTTTTACCTCATCCAGTGTCTAGCACACAATAAACCCTCAACAAATGACAGCTCTTATTATTAGCCAAGAATGGAACCTGAAACATAGTATGCTCCATGGATCATTAAAGCTTTCTTTCTGAAAGTTTGAAATTAACAAAAAGAGCCTTTGATGTTTCCCTCACTGCACATCAGCTCGGAGTAGGTAGAGCACTCTCCCCCTCCAGGTGGGGTGGGCATTTCCACTGGCGGCTGGAGCCACCCCTCCTGTAGTTGGAGGTGGTCTTCTCTGGTGTCACTGGGGTGCCGAGGTGATGTGTCGCCAGCACTTGTTTGCTTGTTTGATGTAACGAGGGTGGCCTTGCCCCTCCTAGGAAAGAGATTCATTAAGGTTAGAGAGGGGCTTGTTCCTGTGAAGTTCCAAGGACTGCCTGGGGCTGCCACTTTAGGAACTCCCCTTTTCTCATTTTGTCTCCGGTAAGTTGTTACTGATCTGCACATGATGTTTCTCCTTCTTGCTAGCCGTGGGGATGGGCCTTCCTCAGGCATTGCTGTTGCCTTGAACATTGCCGTCAGCACCGTTGCCATCAAGTCATGACAGCAGCGCCATTGGCTCTGGTTTATTGGGTGTCTATATGGGCAGCCGTGGGGTTAGACATTTGGAGTATACTCTAGGGCTGCTGCGAGGATTAAATGAGATATGAAGCATCTATAACCCTACGGTCCAATAGGGTAGCCACTACCCATGTGTGCCTACTTAAATATACATTTTAATTAAAGTTAAATAAAGAAAAAATTCAGTGTATCACATACAGAAGCCACATTTCAAGTGCTCGGTATCCACATGTGCTAATGGCTCATGTAACTGGCAGTGAAGATGGGGAACATTTTCATCATCACAGAAAATTCTCCCAGACAGCGCTGATCTAGATAGAACAGGATTCAATCCGCTGTGGCTTGTGGATCCACTAACTGAGATCATACACACAGAATTTTGTGGGAACACAGCTGTGCCTGTTTGTTTATGCCTTGTGTGTGGCTGCTTTTGCACTGCAAGGATGGAATTGAGTAGTTGTGACAGAGACCGTGTGGCCTGCAAAACCTAAAATATTCAGTCTCCTATCCTTGAAGAAAAAGTTTGTCAGCATCTGGTCTAGAACATTGCCTGGCACTTGGTTAGCGTTAAATACATGTTTGGGACTTTTTATTTATTGAAAATAATACACATTTAGTTCTCGACAAACGTAAGTATTGTTATCCCTGTCCTGGAGATGAGAAGACTGGGACTGGAATTCTGTACTGTCACTTTCAGGGGACAGGCACTTCATGAGTCTTTTAAATTAAGGTGCCTGCCACCTCACCGGGCTAATTTTTGTATTTTTAGTAGAGATGGCTTTCACTGTGTTGACCAGGCTGGTCTTGAATTCCTGACCTCAAATTCCGCTCCCCTCGGCCTCCCAAAGTGCTGGGATTACAGGCGTAAGCCACCATGTTTGGCCTTGTGAGTCTTGTTTATCACTTACCTCCTTTTTTTCTTCCAACTTTTGTTTTAGGTTCAGGGGCACAGTACAGGTTTATTACATGGGTAAATTACATGTCACTGGAATTTGGTGTACAAATGATTTTATCACCCAGGTAGCATAGTACCTAATAGTTTTTTTGTTTGTTTGTTTGTTTTTGAGATGGAGTCTTGCTCTGTCACCAGGCTGGAGTGCAGTGGCGTGATCTTGGCTCACCACAACGTTTACCTCCTGGGTTTAAGCGATTCCCCTGCCTCAGCCTCCCGAGTAGCTGGGACTACAGGCAGGCACCACCAGGCCCAGCTATTTTTTTTTATTTTAGTAGAGACAGTGGTTCACCATATTGGCCAGGATGGTCTCGATCTCTTGACCTCAAGTGATCCAACTGCCTCGGCCTCCCAGAGTGCTGGGATTACAGGTCTGAGCCACTGCACCCAGTCCTGATAGTAGTTTTTTGGTTCTCACCCTCCACCCTCAAGTAGGTCTCAGTGTCTGTTGTTCCCTTCTTTGTGTCATGAGTGCCTGATGTTTAGCTCCCACTTACAAGTGAGAACATGCAGCATTTTGTTTTCCGTTCCTGTGTTAATTTGCTTAGGATAGTGGCCTTCGGCTGCACCCATGTTACAGCAAAGGGCATGATTTTGTTCTTTTTTATGCCTGCCTGGTATTCAGTGGTGTTTATGTACCACATTTTCTTTATCCCATCCACCGTGGATGGGCACCTAGGTTGATTTCTTGTCTTTGCTATTGCATCACTTACTCTTGAATCTGGAGTGGCACCTAGCACATAATAGACATTCAGGACATGTTTGTTGAGCAATGAGTGGATAAGTTAGGAATCAATTACATATAAATCAATAATCATCAGTGATGAATTTCTATGAACAAATATGAAAATTAGATTGGCCCCATTGCATAGATGAAGAAACAGCCCTGTAGAGGGAAAGTGCCTCATCAAAATGCAACATAACTGTGAAAGTGTAGAATTGGGACTCCAGCTGAAGTCATCTGCGTATTTTCTGAGCTGTCCGCTCCACCATCCTGCCTTCTCTGGCAGCTGCCTTCTCTGGCAGCAGCGCTGGTGCCTCCTCTCTCCCTCCTGTAGCTTGACTTTTGTTCAGCGCCTGCTTCTCTTCTTCACCGGCTGCCAGCTTCAGCTGCTTTGTGGCACCCTTGGGCTTGAAGCTTCATTTCTGGTGCTGTGGCACCACAAAGCTCTGCCCTGGTGTCACTTGTGTCCAAGTAGGTCAGCCAAATTTGAATGATCTCTCTCTTGGCCACTTCGGTCTGTGAAGTTGGAGTCGAGACCATCTGTGATTTTACTCATTAGTTACTGCAAAACCAAGAGGGCCATGGGGTAAGAGGGCCATTAAGCTAGAGGCCAAGCAAAACTCTGCTCTTGAAGCACCTTCTGAGATGGCTTCTCATGGAACATCTGCTCAAAGTGGCTTCACATCAAGTTAAGTCAAAGATGCATTAAATGAATCCAGTTCCTAACTGCTTCCAACTATGAAGTCACAGTTCATCTCTTGCCCTAGGAGAGGTTTCTTTTGGGCTCTGAGGACTGGAGCCCTGGAGACTTTATTGCCTTACTATTTCCTCCTTCACCATCAGATATTTATTTTTCATGTGTTCTGGGCACAGCCTGCCTGGATTTGAATGCTGCCTTCACCACCTGCTGGTGTGTAATCTTGGACGAGTTACCTTCTTTTCAGTGCCTCGGTTTCCCCTTTGTACAATAAAGGTAATACTAAGTAAGATCTACCACATAGCTGTGGAGAGGATTAAAGGAGCCAATATGTGGAAAATATTTAGAACAGTGTAGTGCATAGTAGCTTCTCTATAAATGGTTATTGTTATTATCCCCTCAAATCTAAAATCCCCCTAATTTGTTCCAGAGGAGCAAGGGTTGTGTCTCGCCTGCCTTTAAATCCCTTACTTTAAGTTGGGGGTCCCAAGCCCAACCATCTGCAGGAGACTAGAAAGGAACTTACATGAGTGACTTAAACCAGGTGTGGATTTATGTGGACTAGAGAATGCAAGGCTGTCTGAATGGGGATCTATTAGTCATTCACGGATCACATATACACTGAGCATCTACTATGTACCAAGCACTGTTTTGCATCTCAGGACACAGCAGAGAATGAACAAGACAAAATGCCCTGCCGTCTACCCCCTTGGAGGTTATGTTTTTGTTGTTCTTGTTGTTTTAGATGAAGACTCCCTCTGTCTCCAGGCTGGAGTGCAGTTGTGCAATTTCAGCTCACTGCAGCCTCCACCTCCCAGGTTCAAGTGATTCTCCTGCCTCAGCCTCCCAAGTAGCTGGGACTACAGGGCACATCACCTTGCCCACCTAATTTTTTTTTGTATTTTTAGTAGAGATGGGATTTCACCATGTTAGCATGATGGTCTCGATCTCCTGACCTCGTGATCCACCCACCTCAGCCTCCCAAAGTGCTGAGATTGCAGGCATGAGCCACCGTGCTCGGCTCTGGAGTTTATGTTTTAGTGGACCAAGCTCTAATGACTCTGTTGCTGCATGAGGATGTGGTCCCACTGTCGACAAAACTTAGGATTTTTCTGAAAGAAAAGCTGGAAACCTCAATTTGTAAAAACCATGAATTCTCCTAGCTTGAGAATGGGCAATGGTTTCCAATTTTTTTTTTTAAGCACAGTACAAGCTGTGAACCTAAAAGCCAGTTTACAACCCCTGCCTTAAGACACTCCTCTAATTGCTCTGGGACGAGGCCTGTCTCTGCCCTGCAAATCAGCAGCTGGTCAGATTTCAAGGTCGTTGGCGTGGAGGGCGCCGCCTCCCTCTCCTTGCATGGAGGTTATTGTGGCTTTTTCTGCCCACAGAGCAGATGATGCTGCCACCCTGCAGACTGCAGGCAGTGAGTTCGAATATTCCTTCTCTCATCCTTTCTTTTGGTTGGTGGCCTTGGCTGGGTTCCCGGCCCCCCAAGAGCAGATGACAAGAGGTTGGAAGCAGCTTCCTCCTAGTCACCCACAGGGGTGGTAGGGTGGGGTTGGTGATGTGGAGAAAAAGCACTGGGTCAGGGCAGCTTCCTTTGAAACCAGAAAATTAATGATCTCTGTTGCCTGAATCTTTTCAAAGTGAAGTGATTTAAAAGCTTGTGTGGGAAGCGTTGAGAATGGGATTGAGGAGAAAAGAAGTTTAGGATGCTATCAGGAACAATTCCTAACAGCAGGAGGTTTTTGGAGAGGCAGTGGTGAAATTCATTGGAAATTTTTGTGTGCTATCTTTTTTTTGAGACAGAGTCTCACTCTGTCAACCAGGCTGGAGTGCAATGATGCGATCCCGGCTCACTGCAACCTCCACCTCCTAGGTTCAGGTGATTGTCCTGCCTCAGCCTCCCAAGTAGCTGGGACTACAGGTAATCACCACCATGCCCGACTAATTTTTTTATTTCTAGTAGAGACAGGGTTTTGCCATGTTGGTCAGGTTGGTCTTGAGCTCCTGACCTCAGGTGAGGTCCACCTGCTGCGGCTTCCCAAAGTGTTGCAATTACAGGCTTGAGCCACAGTGCCTGGCCTTGTGTGGCGTCTTTGAAATCCTTGTTTAAGTTTAGTGTGTTTAAGTTTAGTGTGGTTGCCTCTCGGTCGGGTGCGTGCTCTCTGGTTTTCCCCAAGCCCCACCCCTCCCTGTTGTGCTTCACCCACTTGCCTGACTCAGTTATGCTTACTGGCCTGGCTTTGTAGGTCTTTGAGTTGGTGCCCTCTGCTCTGAAGGAAGCTGGATGACAGCGAGCTTGAGATGATGGAATCTAGGTTCAAACCCACCTGCCCTATCTGCCCTTTACTGACTTGCATGACTGTGGACAAGTTCCTGTACCCCTGAGATTGTCAGGACTCTGCAGGAAATAGAAACCAGTTAGGTGACTGCAAGGAAGAAAGTTTCATGAAAGGGCAAGGTTAAGATTACAAATAAGGAATGTTGAAGCACCTAAGGCCTTGCAAAAGCAGGAGGCTGTTACCATCTCTAAAGGGGAAGAAACAAGTGGAGGAAATAGTTTGGAGTCTATTGAGAGCTGGGGCTAAGAAGGGAGGAATCGCTAGCAGGAACCATGGTCCTGGAGGGATGAACCACTTCCCAAACAGCAGTACTAAGGCAGGCAAGAAGAGGAGGAAAACACCCCAGCCTCTCTTCTCCTCTCCCATTGCCTGTTGGTCTCACCCACTGGCTGAGCCCAGCTGGAAACCAGAAGGACCGGATGATGGGTTCTGTAAGGGTTAGCCTCCTGAGGCTCAGCTCACAGCAGGATCAGAGAAAAAAAATTGGATCTGAGAGGTAAAACAAGGAACAAGCAGCATGTCACCCTCAGCTTCCCTACCTTGAAAGTGGAGGATAACTGACCTCAGAAGGTTACCGGGGGGGCTCACATACTCACAAAGAAAAGGGTCTGGTTGATATTAAGTACTCACAAATGCTGAGATTCAGTGTGGGTTTCAAACCATTTCTAGGTGCTAAAGGTCCTGAGAAGAGGGTTCCATTTCAGTATCAAGAAACATTCTCAGGTGGGCAGATCACTCCTGGAGGCCAGGAGTTCAAGACCAGCCTGGCAAACATGGCGAGACCTCTTCTCTACTGAAAATACAAAAATTAGCTGGGCATGGTGGTACATGCCTGTAATCCCAGCTACCCTGGAGGCTGAGGTAAGTGAATTGCTCGAACCTGGGAGGTAGAGGTTGCAGTGAGCTGAGGCTGCACTCCAGTCTGGGCTACAGAGTGAGATCCTGTCAAAAAAAAAAAACCCACAAAAAACAAAAAGACATTCTCCTCCTTCCCCTACAGTGGGGACCACTGCGAATGGTTGCATCGTCCCTGGGGAGTTTAAAGTGAACGTGTAGTGGTTATGAGCAAAAACCCTAGAACCAAGTAGCCTGGGTCCCAGTCCCAATTGCCACTGACAGTCAAGTTACTCAAATTCTTCTGCCTTATTTTCTCCTCTGTAAAATGGGGATGTTAGTCGTTTCCACCTCATAGGTCTGTGAGGATTAAAATGAGTTTATTTACGTAAAGAGCTTAACGCGGTGTTTGCCACATAGTAGACAATCAATAGATGTTAGCTATTGTAATTGCTGCCATCTCCTCCTCATCATCATCATGGTCGTCATCGTCACCATCTCCATGGATCAGCTTTAACCAAAACTGACCCACTGTCAATAGAAAAATTTCCTGTGGATGAAGTCCATGCCATCGGGCCTCTCAGGAACTTCATTGATCATACCATTATCTTCTCATCCTCCCACGGATATGATATTTCAGGGAGTGATTGATAGGTATGTGTATGTACGTGGGGAAGGGTGGGCTTGTGCCTGACTCCAGGGACACAGTGCTTTGTTATGCAGAATAGCTTGCCTGTCATCCCACTACGGGCCCCTTCCTTGAAAAGTTCCAGGCTATTTTTGAGCCCTCATGGCTCACATGTTCCTTTCTACAGCATGTCAATGCCAGTACAGAAAAATTGAAACCTTTTGGCAGCGTCTAAGGCAAAAGAGATTTCAAAGTGCATGGAGGATGAGTGTTGCTCTACTGACAGGGTATTGAAACGTGATGAGAATGCTGAGTTGAGAGACTGCAGGCAGCTTGTGTGTTTGCGTTTAGACCTTGCTGGCTTTCTTGGGAAATCAGTGGAGTTGCCCAAGGTTAATGTCATCTCCAAGAAGGCACCAAAGGGTAGTAACACTCCTTCACACCCATTTGTATATACACTCTGCAAGATCAGAAGAGGATGCAGCAGTGGAATAGACGGTTGTCCCAGAGCACCACCTGGGCTCCGAGCCACAGGATTCTGCAGCAGGAATCACCTGAGGGCAGAGTGAGGTGTGTTGGTGCCGCCTGGGAGCTCTGGGCTTTCGTGTGCTGATGGGCAGGCAGACACTGGAGCCAGGCCGAATTGTGTGTGAAAATGTGGGTCTAAGAGTGAAGGTGCCAAACCCTCACCTTTTCTACTTTCATTTATCCTCCCTGTTCTTCTCTGAAGGGCAGAGTATGACTTTGGAGTAAGGTAGACCTCAGTTCAAACCCCACTTCTTCTTTTGGGAGTAGCTAAATCTTTGCAATGCTTTATTTGAAAGGAAATCAAGATCACATTTTCAGGGTTGTTGAGAGGTTTAGAGATCGTGGTGTTTCAGGGCCTCTGG